AGTTTGCGAAAGAAGAAAACTGGCGCAGGAAACCAGAGAACCGAAGCAAGTAAATATCTTTCTGAGAGAATTCCTTTGAAAGGTATCCTTTCAAAGAGAATAATTTTTGTAATTTAAAAAGAAAAAAAAGGACTTGAGAAAGAGGAAGCTTGATTTTAAAATTTCTCTCTCTCTCTCTCTCTCTCTCTCTTTATTTCGAAATTTAAAAGTTTGAATCTTCCCGAGAGAGTTTCTTTGATAGAAAAGAAACCTTTCGAAGAGAATGATTTTTGTAATTTAAGGGGAAAAGGACAGAAAGTTTGTCAAAGAGAATTTTGTAAAAATTAGAATTCGTGGGACAAACGCGCGATCGAGAAGAATTTATCGTTTGTACCCACGGATGTTCATGCACGATTTGTAGAACATCTTCGCCTTCAGAGTGGCGTTGTTGTCCTCGTCGTTTGGCGGCTCCTCCAGGATACGTTTCAAGATCACCTGCAGCTGATTGGCCAGTACCTCGAAGGTACTGATCGAGCTTCGATCCTCCGGGATCACGTGACGACGGTTCCACGTGCCGCACGCGTATTGGAAAAAGTTCACGCACGGCGCTGCCGTTCGATCCATCGCCGACAACAAACTCGCGGCTGGAACGAATTCCAATGGAACCTCAAAAATTAAAACGGAAAAGGAGAAGAAAATTCTGCGAATGGACGCGCGTGAAGTTGGATCATCGAAAGTTGATAGAAGTCGATCAAAAATAGTCGACTATATAAGCAACTATGACGATTACAAGTGTTAAGAGTAATTGTCTGCACGTACAATCTGCTCGTGAGTGAGTGATGAAGCGATGAAAAACTGTTTCAACGTGGTTACAAGTTAACACGTGCATGCACAAAGTGACTGTAAGTAGGCATAATGCGATCGAGGGTGGTTATAACGTGACTACAACGTTGTACAACTAAGTATATTTGATTATTACTTGATGAAAAATAACATCACAGATTAAGGTGATTTAAGAGGCGATCATGTTTAAATTCTATTTGGTTGTAGAAAAATATTATTATATATATATATATACTGTATATTATTGAATTACATTATATTATCATATTTTAAAATATACTATGTTTCATATCATTATATTCAATATTAATAAAATAAGTTATTATAATATCAGTAAATTGTATAACCATCACGGTAACATTATATATCATTTTTCCCGTGGAGGGAATTTTCGTCGCAACGAGGAGTGAAATATTTCCCCCGAGGCTAGGGGGGGGAAGAAACTGATCGAAATCTCGATGTTGCCGCGCGCTTACGTACGATCATATTAACAAACACGTTGATAACAAATTTCGAAGCTGATATCGAGGCTGCAGCGTAAGAACATAAAATTGCGCTGTCACGGATAGGAAATTGAGTTTCAGAACCGGGGCGATCGAGGAAGGAACGTCCGAGGCTAACAAGATGAACGTATCAGAGGAAAAAGAGAAAAAGATGCGAGAGGGAACTGGAGAGCGAGAAGGATCCAACGTATGTATCCAGGTGAGTAATGAGTCTGCTATAAAACTGCTCTGAGCAATCTCATTTTCTGTCAACAGGTTGGCGCTCTGACTCATCCAGACCTATATTCACTTCGTGCGCCATTTTTTTTTCACGTTTGGCAAACAAAAACAATATTATTTATAATTGAAGTAAAATAATCTGTGATAATATGAAGGGAAATAATGTATTTTATAATGAAACAGAATAATCTGTAATTATATGGCAAGGGACGATTCATATTTATTAGAGACTGTATATCTTTAAATATATATTTCGCTGTGACGTAAAATGTGTCTTAATTTTAAGGAAAATTAATATTACTTTGGTGGAAGATTTTTCTCCCGAGTTTAATTAATTCATCGACTAAACGATTTCAATCAATCGGTACGAAATTCTAGATATTGTTATATAAATGATTGCGGAAAATTAAAACAAAAGGTAATTCGAAAAATAATACCTATTATATAGAGTAAATCCAAAGCGAAATAAACAAATATATAAGTAAATTAATTAAAAAAAAAAATGAATTTCAAAAACTTTTTCATTGTAATAATTTTTCTTCTCCATGATAAATCAAAGCACTTCTCTGATATTTTTTTAATAAGTTCAGCTTTGTCTGCGACTGATTCTGCAACTTTCTTAGCCAATAAATTTCGTTCCTATCTGTTTGACGTTCAAAGGTATAATTCCGAATCGTTTAATCGGATCCGGTAATTTTACGGTGCGATTGGTATCTTCGTCGAGCAATCAGGCGTGAAAGATTTAACGAGGCCAGCCTGTGACCTTAGGATTGATTGCACCTCTCCGATAAACTGTCTCTAACCACTAATAACACCGCTCTAGGCTTATCTGATATCGTGCATCAAACTCTCGTTAGCTATGCTAAAATTACTATTAATAAAATTATCAAAATTATAAAATTACAAAATTTAAAGTAATTATTGAAGCAAGCAATTGTCCCGAAAATTTTCATTTACCATTTTATTGTTGCATGCTCATCATCAGCCGGCGAGCAATTTTCATGATATTTCACTTGACTACTTGAATAACAATACTTTCCGCAAAATATTAAAATGAAAAAA